TGAAAACAAGGATGATGAGAATTTAAACACAGAGAGAAACTCTGAAGCAGGTGGTGCCCAAAGTGTTCAAACCCATGAAGGTGATGAAGTAAATGAGACAAGTCCTGGTGAAGAAGACAAAGTAGAAAACCAACTCAAGGACGAGAGTGAGAACGGAGGCGAGCAAAGTGAACAACACGATAAAGAATATGGAGATGAAAACAGTCCAACTTTGAAGAATAAAGATGGAGAGAACACAGAAGAACCAGAGAAAAATACAGAAAATCAGTCGGAGGACTGTGAAGCAGGTCACAGTGAAGCAGCAGCAGAGACGAACCAGAGAAAAATACAGAAAATCAGTCAGAGGACGAAGGTCACAGTGAAGCAGCAGGAGAGACAAAAAGGACGGACGACGATGTGGTGGAGACTGAAGGCACGAAAGAAGAAAATGAAGGCGGAAGTACCAGGAGTGAGAGGAGGAAAATAGATGCTGAGAACGGAGAGATTTCACCTGCAGGAGAGGCTTCCGATGAAGATGGAAAAGATTGGAATCGAGGAGAGCTGGGTGAAGATGGAAGACAAACAGAGGAGCCAAGTGGGGAGAAAAGTGAGGAGGTGAAGCCTGAAGAGGAAGAGGAAGAGGAAGATGAAGGCTGCGGCGGCAGCGTTAGGAAACAAGGCCTGGAGCAGGAGATCAATGTAGAACCAGATACCAGCAGAGAGGAGAGTGAAGGAACGAAACAAGACGAGAATAAAAACAGAGTGGACGTTCACAGTGAAAACAGAGACTCTGAGTCAAGCAGAGATATTGATAAAATCACTGACATGGCGGCTGCGTCAGCACCAGATCAGCCACAGTCTTCAGCCACCAACAAACCACACGAATCCACTGGCGAAACCCCCGAACAGACCCGACCTCATGAAAACACTGATGGTGGGGAAGAAAATGGAGGAGACGAGGAGGCGAGCAAAGCCTCCGAGGAAGGAGTCAGTGTCCTGTTCAAACCTCAGGCGCCGCAAGACGAGGCCGAAACCGCAGAACAAACCTCTGGAGACATGCAGTCTCCAGAGGTGCTAACGAGTGAGGTCAACACAGACCTGGTCTCCAACTGGATCAACATGCACCAGAGGTCCAAGTTCTTCGAGACCTTTGTAGAACCCTTAGAAGACCTGGGAGAAGACTCTTCAAACACCGGAGTGTCGACGTCTACGGAGCAGCACAGGTCGGAAAGTCCACTCAAAATGTCAGGGAAGTGTTCGAGTGACCAGAACGATCAAAACGAAGAAGGGGAAAGTAGAAAAGACAAAGATACTGCGATCACTTTAGAGTTACCAG